GAAAATTGGCTTACCACTATTAATAGTAATTATTAAAAAGTAATTCAGAATTGAGAATTTTTGGTTTAATACTTGGAAGCCCTTAGACAAACTATCTATTATCCACTATATTCAATTAGTTACCAAGCCAATTTTATTTCTCTGAAAACTGTAACCTGTACAAAACCATACAAAGAAAATAAACAATTTGGGGGTAACCTCATCATTTCATACTTTAAATTTTTCCACAAAGCAATTCACGTATCATTTAATACTAATACTTCTTTAAACCTTTATGACTTAAATAGAAAGAGACTCATTTCTCAGAGATTATATGTGAAGATGCCAGGGAAAAAGATGAATCCCTAATATGTAATTCTAAATTTTTAACCCCAAAATAGACCCATGTAAACACTGGGCATTCAAATCAAATATAATGGAATTGTGCCATAGTATGGTATATGGCATTTTTTAAAATATCAAGAACTGAATCAGATTTATTGCTATGTCAATCTTATTAATAGCTGATAATTAAATGTACAAAATACACCACAACATCCATGCCAAAAACGATGCTGTATAGAGATATCATTAACATAAATAGGTAAACATTTATCTTGTAATATACATCACTAATATAGTAAAACCTTATTCAGGGTAGTTTGAATTGATAAAAGTCTAAAAATTTGAATACTTTAAAAAGATATGCAGTTTAAGCACTCATAAGCATTCTTTTTTTTTTTTTTTTTGCTTTCAAGTATACAATTTCAAATATACAATTTGCATTGGCCAAGTATTACCTATTATAATTCTTTTGGGTATTTGTTTTAAAGACAAGAGAATGCTTTTAAAATAGTATTCTCAAATAAATGCTTTATAAAGCTTAATATTTTCCTAAGATTAAACATTTTTTAAAATATCTTGATTATGACTTTTATTAATAAACCTTTCATCAGGTAATACAAAGCAACCACCACTCAAGTCCTTGTATCAATGGTTACAAATTCTAAGTAAATCATAGGACTTCTATGGTATCGTAATTGCTTTTTAACAAATGAAGATTAGTATTTCTACTTATTTTGGTTAAGGTGAAATGAATGGTATCTTTTTTGGTTGGAAGAGATCAGAGTAGGTTCAAAGTCTAGTATGTAATTTTAATAGTAAGGGCTAAGAAAAATCCTAATATTCACAAACAATTAAGATATTAATTCCTTGATAAGTTATAACTGTGAAAGGAAAATCAAAATTTTAAGAAGTATTTATTGTATTAGTAGTGTTATGAATTGCTAACACCAAATTTTACCCTCTCTCCCATTTCAAAACATCAGGCCATCTACTAATCCATAAATATTGATGTTTCACATACTTCATAGAGTAGCTTAAACATACCAGCATAAGAAATAATTAGTATTACATAGTAATTTCCTTTGCCATAGGAATAAATGTTGGACAAAGTCTGGAAACACTTTATTTTCCAATTTGAATTACAGTAATTTTGCCACAGACCACAGCACTAGTGCATGTGTTACTTTAGACATGCTCTAAGAACAAAACAAAAAATTACTGCAAAAATACATGTCACCAATGTGGAACACACTCAGATTTGTATAAAAGTACTGAACTAATATCCCAAAAAGAGGTATATGTAAACAGTACATAAGGAAGAAATAGTTTTAATATGAAACAGTCATTTAAGTCACATACATCATGATAAGAAGCAGGACTTTCTTTTATAAAAGATATTTTAACTAACAAGCAACATCATCTATGTCACCTACAGAACAAGAAAAGTACAAGTCTTTAGAATAAGTTTTAATATAATTGCAAGAAATGTATTTTGACAAACTATGATAAAGATGAAGCTTATCCATTGGGTTTCATTAAAAATTGTCAAAGAAATACAGGCAGCCTCCGATGAACTCACATCTGGCTTAAAGATAGCCACTGTTCATTTCCCCTAGGCTGTATGTCAGGGGAGATGTTAATGCCAGCCCTCTTCTCCCTACTCCAGGAGTACCTCTAAACTTCCATCTCTGTACCAAGAGTTAGAAAAATGCAGATGTGACTTCTATACTCTTCTATTGGATAAACAGAATAGGGAGAAAGAGGAAGTTATTAATTTTGAAATGAGAAAAAACCTCTGAGTTCAAAAGTTGAGGGAAAAAACTAAAAAGTCCCAACAATCTAAAGGAAATTGCTAAGTACTCTCAAGAGGCATCCACCAAATCAATAAAAAATACTGCTTCCCACAGTGCCTGAGATGTGGTCATATTGTCTGAAATCCTATTAGATAAAAATTCATTCTGAATAAGCGGTCTTTAAAAATGTTTAATCCCACTTTCTTCACTATCTTCATTCACATCTTGGTGGAAAACATTTTTCCCTTAAAATCTAGCCAGCCATAACCACAGGGGGAAAAAATGGGAATTCTGAATGGAGAAAAGATGAAATTTTGAAGCACAGACCATCCAGTAAGGGAAAAGGCAAGTTGGCTTATATAGTATTCCACTGGAGGGTTTAGGATGGTAAGAGGACAACTAGGAAACACTAACACCAAGAAACCTAGCTTTCCTGAATCCCACCAGGAAAAAGGAAAGACTCCTGTTTCTTTCTACCTCCTATACTGATTGGTTCCCTAAAGAAAACTGAGTGCTCAGCATGATACTAGTGGTTAACTACATTATGGTTGAAATAAGCCTTTATCAGCTTTCCTAACAATCTAATCATTTTATATAATGTTCCAAACCACTATTTACAAATGACATTTGGGAGCCTGGATGCCCTTAATTGAACTTTTTAATTAAAAAAAAAAAATCAAAATAGCACAAATGCTCATGCATATGAAACCTCTATACACTGTTAAAAAAAAAAAATCCAAAAATTCTTTAGAGCTCCCTTAAAAAAATTATTACTTACATTTTTTTTTACTATTAGATACAATTACTATAGTATGCTGGACAATAAGTACTAGCACTTTTAATATGTTCAAGACAAACAAGTTTGAAAGAATTCTAGATGAAGACTCCTGATACTTATTTGGATGACTAAAGTCAGCAGAATTCATGGTGACCCACACTACTGAGGTTTTTTCCTACCAGTAGGCAGAGCTGGAAGTCTTAAAAAAAAATCAGATTTCTTTATATTGTGTTAATCCAGAAAGAGTAAGCCCCACTAGAAGAAAATCTTGCTTTATGTACATAATCTTCTAATTTGGGTAACAAGAATCCTAATGGCAGTACTCTAAAAGTATTTCGCACCAAAGGAAAACAACAATCACAAAACTAATTCTAAGCACTCTATCTAAAGAATAATTTTTCTTTTACAAGCTAAGCTACTTCGGCATTAGTGAGTCCAGTAGTTCAACAAGTAAGTAGACTAGGAATTCTCTAGTAAAATGAATAAAGCAAGTTCTGGGAAAGGAATAGATGCTTTAAAACTATCAGTAATCTAGCTGTCACGAGAGAGCCTAGCTGCTGAGTGTAGGCCAGGTTGAACTTAGACAAAACTTGGGAATATGGGAGAAACCATGTTTTCCTGCTCAGTTGTGTGTGTGTGTGTATCTCTGTGTGTATGTGTGCATGTGAGATGAGGCCTTCAGTGAAGGAAAAGGATTATATAAAAAAAGGTGCAATGCTACTGGAAGATTATTCTACCTAAGTACAATTCTTTTCATTACTGAATATTTGAAAATGTTTAGGGTAGCTCATCACTTGTCCTAACAAAGCCATATCAATTTGTGTAATAGCCTTTTTTGGGTCAAATTGGACATTCTTATACTTCATCACTTTTCCTATCAAAAACCATCTAACTTTTGACTTAGTAATCATATACAGACAAATGTGAACTAGTTAAGAAAAGTAATTTGAATACATGAAAACATTCACAAACTATGGTTATAGTTTACCTGTGACTCACGGTCAGTCAACCACGGGTTTTTCTCTGAATATTTAGACTCTTACTTAAATAAGGTGCTCAGAAGATCTAAATACTTGAATAAAAATTCACTTGTAAGTTTTCAAAAATGTCTATTTGGAAATGGAAAAGAATCACATTACAAATCAAGTACCTTTAGACTAGCTTGGGAGAGGTTACTTCACTTTCACAAAACAACTACTGAAACCGTAAGCAACAGATGGTTTAAGAAAATGCATAATCAATTCTAACCGTAAGTACAACTCAAGTACTACCATGTAAAATGTTAACTCCCGAAGACACTGGAAGTGTCTTCAAAACCAGCACTCACTAGGATTTCAAGATTTCAAGAACAACATAAGTAGGTCCTTAAACATTTAGAAAATCGTGTACTTCAAATATAAAGTAAGCAACATGGGATCTTCAAAAATGCTTCTAAATACATCAAAAGTCGGAGTCAGCCAAAAATACTGCATTTTCACCTGCTTCAATTGGTAAAGTTTTCACACCAAGGAGTACCTAGTATAAGAGTTTATATCATTTCATTTCCTAAAATTGTAAAGATATATAATTTACAGCTATATTGAAAATATTTTGTACTCACCTCTAACTAGTCACAGGTAAATGGAGAAAACCTTCTACTACCTTGTACCATATGAAATTGCTGTTTTTGTAGGTCAAAATTAAAACACTATTTAAAAAAATAAGTTTTATTTAATCAAAATATGCATCATGAGCATTAATAGTTTTCTTCTAGTAGGATATTAAATATTTCATTTTTATAAAATTTGTCATGTCTTCAACTATATAAATTGTTCATATCCCTCCAATTACTGTTTCTAAATTGGAGAACATGTTGTTTATTAAAAAAAGCTTCAAATGATGAAAAAGATGGTAGTTTGCTGGATAAAGGTCTGGTGACTATAATGGATATGACAAAATTTAAAATCCCAATTCAATTAATTTTGCTTTAGTGGCTTGTGGCATGCAAGGTCAAATGCTGTCATGTAAAAGTGTAGGCTCATGTTTATTAACCAAAGAATGTTTTTTTAATCAAGAGTTTCACGCACAATTTTAATTTCTTGGCGAGACACTGCTGCTGCTGCTGCTGCTGCTGCTGCTGCTGCTTCACTAGGGGTTAAACAGTAGTAATTAATTATTATTTTGCAGATCACTATGCGGCCTTCAGAACTTTTTTGGTCACAATGCTAATAATGGTGCAAGTTTGGGAGCTTCACCAACATCCAACCATTGTATGAATTGCTATCAATCCTCAAACAGTATCTTGTGGTGTATTTTGTTTGTTTTTTTGTGTGTGATTTTTTTGGTCACAGGTCACTGTTTTAAGTCTCAGCGAGTACACCTCTGTCTCTGTTCTTGATCATCGCCCAGGAGGATGTTCTTGAGTCCATCGTTACACTTTCCCCAGTCACAACAGAAACTCCTATCTACTTCAAGGCCTTGAAATTGTTGTTTGTAAGTTAGCTTTCACCCTGGCTCTTAATTGGTGTTTGCTCAAAATGGATTCTGATCTCCCCCGAGGCTTGTCTTTGAATCCAAATCCCCAGAACAAGATTTTTCAAACCACCACTGAGCAGGTCTCACCAGCTGAGCTTTCTAAGGCCAACTTGATGTTTCCACCTATGTCATGTGCAGTATGTCCTGGCTTCAAATCGTGTTAAAAGAAGTATTCGCAATTCTTCCGAAGATACTATGTTATTTATTTCTCTGGAAAACAATAACAAAACAACTCAATAATCAAAGGAAACTGAATGAAGAGCATACTACTATTGTAATTCTAAACAGCACAACTAGAAACATATTTCACTTCAACTCTACTAACTGTAGTCCTTTATCAACTCATCTAATAGTAGCAATTTCATGTGGTACAATCCACAACTTAATGAACAAATACTTACTAAGCATCTACTATATGCTAACATCTGTCTCATATCTGTATAAACAGATATCTTGAAAAGACTGAATTGAAAATAGGAAGTCACTAACTTCAAAGACCCTAGTGGGAAGAAATCTGGTAACATACGCTATTATTTTTTTTTAAACATCCATTAAAATGTATGCTTTCTTCCATGTTATAGCTATACATATTTTTTCCTCAAAACATGCCAAGTAGATCCTTGAAAGATTTTTTGAACCATTTAATGTAATATTAACAAAGTTCAGCTCTGCAATGTACATTTTTCAATGATTCTAACTTTCTAAAGTCAAAACTTGCCTACATTTGCTATATATTATTTTGAAGCTTCAAGAGGCTTTTTAATGTTTATGATTAACAACAACAACACCAACTAACATTTATTAGTATAGTACTTTCTAAAGCACCCCCATATACATTATTCTCATTTAAGATAGCAAACAAGGACAATATAAAATTTGCACTGGTAATGAAGTAGAATATTAACAAAAACTAAAAGGTAAATAATCTTTTTGTGTGTGCATTTAAAAAAATAATGTAAAACATTAAAATCCTGTGTCACTGAACCTCTGTAAGACGGGGGGAGGGGACCCTTTAGTTAATGCCAGTGATTAAGCATCACTGCCCACTGCAGGTGGACCAAAAGTCTCTCGAGTGCGCATCAACTGGACATCCTTGTCAGCCATACAGGTGTCACAGCCCCATACTGCTGAGGCCTCTGCAGTTAGGAGGCCATAAGCGGTTTCAGTCATTCCAGTGCAGATACGATGAAACCATTTCTGACAAGAGGCTTCACACAAGATGGCATCCTGATCATCATTCACTTCATTTGTACAAATTCCACAAGGATACACTGGGTCAGAAGAAGAATGGCCATGACGGCTTGGGTGAAGAGAGGATTTATTGCTTTTTTCAGTGGTGCAGGTATCTGGGGCACCTCTAGGTTGTCGCGGCTTATTCTGTGTCCCATTCGCATGGCTGTTATTTGTAGCTTCTGTGGTACTCGAACGGCTATTCTCTTGATTTACTGCATTATTTCGATTAACATTTTTTAATTCGATATTACTCTGATTCACTGTGTCATCCATATTTAAGTGAGGCGGATGAGCAGAGGAATTTTGATTAGTATTTTTGGTTGCTCCTTGACTAAAGTCTTGTTTTTGGGGTGGTGCTTTTGCTTGACTGAAAGTGTTTGGGGGAGGAATAAAAGAATGATTAGATTCTAATGGAGAAGGAAAATTTGCATTATTTCCAGGGACAAAGTTAGATGACAAGTCAGGGTTAGAAACTTGGTTAGCATTCTGTGGAGGAATCTGATTGAAGTTTTCAGCAGGATTTTGTCGAAAATGTTGATTAGGCATATTAACATTCTGACTTAGTGCATTATTATAGGATGGGTTTCCAAAGCTTGAATTATCATGTGGCCCAAAGTTAAAAGCATGAGGTCGATTAAAACCCATGCCCAAAGGATTCTGAGGAAATGGGTGTGGCTGATTCCTGAGTGAGTAAGGACCACAGTATGGGGAAGACATTCTTGGAGGTACGTGAGGTGGCATTCTGAATGTGCTATAGCCTCCAAAGCCAGGATAACCAGGGCCAAGATATGGATTTGATGAAGGTAGTGGTTTATAGGAAATAGTATTATAGTTGTCATCAAATGGATTAGCAGCCACTAGATGGTCAGAGTTTGGATTCGGTGGTGGAGCATACTCAGACAATGGAGGAAAAGAAGGCCCCTGAAATGAGAATGTAGAGTAAAGGACATGTTTCGATCAAAGAAGTTATTAAAACTGTTATCTTAACATATAACAACCTAGCTTTAATCAAATTTCTCTTGCTTTGTTTATGAAAATCTAATTCATTTGACCTTTCAATTCCAAATAGTTTTCATATTTAATTATATTTAATGATTAAAATGTGTAGACTTCTTTAAGAAAGGAAAGGAGGTATGATTTTCTGAGCTCAAACTCATTGTTACTTCAAATTCCAAAGGTATTTAAGCTTCAAAAGAAGCTTCATTATGTAACTTTCATTTAATATGCTTAACTGTAATTCTGGAACCTTTCACTTAAACCATAAAATTAAGTAACAATAAACAGGATCTAAGTTTTTTTGTTAGCTTAACTTCAGGGAGTAGCTATTAAAGTATTCCCCAAGCACTATGCTCTTGGCCTCAGAATGGAAAAATAAACTTCCAGTTTTAGTCACACTGGAAGTTTAACAGATGGTGGCCAAAATGGAAATAATCTGAATACACATCTTACTTTCTCGTAGTCTTTAAAATAGAAAGAGTGCTTCAAAATTATAAGGGATAAAAGCACAGAAGCCTGTTCTTATAATGGTTATCTAAGCACAGGTTATACACAAAAGATTCTTCCACCACGATCGCTTAATGACACGTAGGTACTACTGAATTACTGTTAACAGCTGAACACTACTTCAATGAAGTTAAACCTGTGTTCCCAGATTTTACAATCTTTTAGAACTACAGTTACCTATGGTTTTTAAGTTAGATTTAAGAACAAGCATTTTCATTTGTCTGCCTACACTTCTTTCCTGCAATACTCACTTTAGACCTATAGGCCAACAACAGCCACTAGTTGCAGAATTTAAAAAAAAAAAAAAAAAATCACTGCAGAATTCACGATTAGGTTATGAAGAGGATAGGAAACAAACCCATGACCAAATTTAAATTTACCTCATCAGATTGATCTTATCAGTGAACAAAAACCATTATTAAAGAAAATGTCAATTTACCTGTGTATTTGTCTTGCGTTTTTTCTTGTCAGGGCTTCCTAGTTGTACACCTGGTCCTCCTAACCCATCCAGTCCACTATCACCACCTTAAAAAATAATAATAATAACATTTCCATTTGTAACTAAAATCATTTTACATCTCTCACAGCAGTATCTATCATAACTACCTGTCAATATATGTTCTATTTTTATTAGATAAAAGCAATACCAAGCTTTAAAAAAAAAAAATCTCTGTTTTTTAAAAAGTCTTCCCCATAGTTTCAGCCAGAAACATTCATCTCTACTCCCACAGTAATTTTTATTATTCTTTCAGTGAGAAAGTCTCCATCCTACCCTTGAAGCTTTAGTCATCTGGTTTCTTATCCTTGAGGCAACCACCAGTTTTTGCTCTTTCAAAAGATAATCTAGAAAAATTCCAGCATAATATCTTTTGCGGGGAGTACAAAAACCATAGCATGCATACTATACAACAATGCTCTCTACACTTTGCTTTCTTCTTGGAAATCATTCCATGTGATTACATACAGAACTGCTCCATCACCTAATAACTGAGTAGTATTTCATGGTATAATTATACCATAATTCATTAAACTAGATCCTTCCCTACTGATGGATATTTAGGTTGTTTCCAAATCTTTGCTGTCTGCAATGAAAATCTCTGTATAGGTGTCTTAAATACATGTACAAATCATTCCTAGAACTGGAATTATGGCATTAAATTTTATGTGGCCTTTAAATTCTTAAAGGTACAACAATGTACATGAGTATTATTTTCTCAACAGTATACGATCAAGCAAAAGCAAAAGCCTGACCGTGAAGTAAAGAGGCTAAAAAAAGTTTATCAATATACAACACTGTGAATGAAATTAATGTCACTGATTTGTATGCTTAAAAATGGTTTAAGTGGAAAGTTTTATTTTATATATATTTTACCAAAATAAAAACTAGAAAGTACGGAGTTGACATGATCTGAAAATATCAACAGAATTTTTTTCTGCTGGGAAAACAATTATGGAGGATTCTGATCATTACAAAAGTAGACAGAAGAATAAAAGTATGTATACATACATAGATACACATTTGTAATAGATTCAGTGAGTTGACAATTAGAGGAGACATGCTCACATATGTGGATTCTGAGAAAGGGGGTATTTAAGCTGAGACTTAAAAGATAAAAATAAAAATAAATATAAAATTAAAAAATAAACTGAGACTTACAGGACAAAAAATCTCTCATTTAAACAGCCTAAGGAAGAGCCTCTAGGCAGAGAACAGCACATGTAAAGACTCTTAAGTAGAAAGAAGCCCGATGTGGGGCGCCTGGGTGGCTCAGTGGGTTAAAGCCTCTGCCTTCGGCTCAGATCATGATCTCAGGGTCCTGGGATCGAGCCCTGCATTGGGCTCTCTGCTCAGTGGGGAGCCTGCTTCCTCCTTTCTCTCTCTCTGCTTGCCTCTCTGCTTACTTGTGATCTGTCTGTCAAATAAATAAATAAAATCTTTAAAAAAGAAAAAAAAGAAAGAAGCACGATGTGTTTGAGAAATTTAAAAGAGGCCAGTGTGTGAAGGGACTCTGGAGAATGCCACTAAAAGAGGTTAAACAGATAGGCAGGGATCAGATCATTTAGAGCAGTGTGGACTGAATGTGTCCCCCCAAAATTCTTATTTTGAAGACCTACCCCACAGTATGCTGGTATTTGAATGTAGGGCCCTTGGGAGGTAATGAAGATTACCTCCGGTCATGAGGGTCAGGTCCTTTTGATGTGATTAGTGGCCTTAGGAGAAAGAAGAGTATGTTCTCCATCCTCCCTCTGGAGTACAAACACAGGAAAGGCCATGTGAGGACACAGGCAAGAAGGTGGGCATCTGCACACCAAAAAGAGAGCACTCACCAGGAAGTGAATTGGCTAGCACCTTAACCTTGGACTTTGCAGCCTCCAAACTGGGAAAATAAATTTCTGTTGTTTAAGCCACCCAGTCTACGATACTTTGGTCTTAAAGCCCAAGCAGACTAAGACACAAAGCCTTGTAGTTTATGCTAAGGAATCTGAATTTTATCTGAAGGACAGTGAATGATCACTTAAGGGTTATGAGCAGGAAAGTGATATGATTTAAGTTTTAAAAGTATTATATTAGCAACTGTGTTGAGAATGAATTGGTGATGGGACGGGGTAGAAGCAGGGAGACTAGTCTTTTACAATAATAGTTCAGGAAAAATAAATGGTACTTGGCAATAAAGAGAAATAAGTGTATTGGACAAAGACTCCCACCTAACAAAATGTGAAGCCAATTTCTCTAAGAGCTATTTAGAGAAGCTTATATACAACAAAGGTGAAAAAACTGACAAACTAACAAAATCCAGTAAGGATTCTGGATGTTAAATCAATATTTAAACATAAGAGTGCTTTTTATACACAAACTAAAACCAGTCATAAGATAGCGTAGAAGAAAAGTTTTCACTTACAGGAAAAAAACTAAACTAAATTAGCTAGCAATAAATTTTTAAAAATGCACAAGGTCAGTATAAATAAAAACTTTCAGAAGTTCTATATTGAGAGACACAGAGAAATACTTCTAATAATTGGAAAGGTATTCCCTGTTCTGGCTAGCCATCTAGAACAAAATAACATTGTTTTTTACCTCATTTATTATCCCAAACAGCCTTTTTGTGCCCTCCTCAGAGACATTAGCACCAGGCATTTGAGTTCCAAGCCTATGGGGCTCACCCTCAGAGTCCAGAGGCTTCAATACTAGAATAAGCAGCACCTCCTTCTCAGAGATCCGAGTTTAAACTCCACAGGGCCCTTCCGTGAATTTATATACTCTAATAATTCCAACTTCTTTCCTGTGGCCTTAGGAATGGTAGCTGCTTCCCACAGTCAACACCTCTGTGAAAACTTCAATATCCTATTTTGCCACTTCAGTTTAATGTCTGTTAACAATACCTTATATTACATTTTCTATTAAAAGTAACTGGTATGGTTTCTATCTCCTGAGTAGATCCCGACTGATACATATCTCAAGTGCCACCAGCCAGAAACTGTCATTACTAATAAGTTAACATCACATCATTCTACACATATAGCTTATTACCTCCTACCTACTGCTCCCTCTGTGAATACAGAGCAGTAGTAATAACTTTACAAAGATGGGGTACATTTTTAAATAACAGCATTAAATTTTAACATTTTTATAATGTAATAAAGGCAATAAGAAATGAATTAAACTATAGAATATGTTAAATATTTCTTTACCGTAAGAGAATTTTTTGGAAAGAATCCTCTAAGTCTAAAAGAAATCAAGGAAAACATTAAGTTGGAAAATGTATGTCTTTCCTCGATTTTAGATAGCATTGATTGAACTTTGAATAGTTAAGATAATATGGTATCACATCTTACTCTACTTTTTTCCATCCTGTTTCCCATCATCTACTTTTTCTATCTCTACATTCAATTCTTTATTTCAGCTAAATTTTCTTTTATCTCATCTTTGAATACATTTTCTGCTCTTTGTTGAGTGCTCTATTGGGGGGGCACTAATTATTATTATGCTAGAGGAATTTTTAGCCCCATATCTATTAGTTAGCTTTTCCAACTTTACTCTTTTTTAATATCTACTTAATCTATCTGTAGTTTTCCTATTTTCTTATTATGTAATTCATATGTTATCCATGTTATGTTCTTTATTTCTAATTTTTTTATTTGTTCTATAATTTGTTCTAGAATTGGTTTAGTCCTCGATTGGTTTCCTGAGATCTGCAATTTATATTTAATCTAATTTTGTTTTATTAATCATCCTGTCTTTGAACTCCTTCCTGCTCTTATTTTTGCTTTTGTTTTTTCATTTAAGTTTACCACTTAAAGTACATATGAGATCTTTCCTTCTGTCTTTTAGGTTATGGGTCTTCATCTTCTGCATGCTATTTCTTTCTTCTTCTTCTTCTTTTTTTTTTTTTTTTTGTTAATTCATTAGTTTCCTATAGTATATTTACATAGTTATGCTTTTATTTTTATCTTGCAATTCTGTCTAGATCTTTTATTTGCTCTTTTATTTAACATGGGTGACTTTCTGACTCTCTTTTATTTACATCTAAGATTACTTGGTTTTGGTGGTATGTTTTATCTATTGAGATAGTCATGTGATTTTTTTCCCCTTTAAACTATTTTAATGTTCAACTCAAAACTGACATTCCTGAAATAAAGCCAACTAACTCACTTTTATACAAATGTTATCATTTTTATGTGACTGGATATGCTGTTATCTCTTTAGAACACCTGCCTCTTCTAGCAAGATTAGTAAGAACCTCTTGTGTTTCCTTGGTACATCCAGGTTTTTAATTCTCACATTTTGTTAAATGCCCATCTACCTAGTTGGGGGGTGTAGTACCCCACTCACATGGGAGGTTTCCCTGGGTTCCTTAATTCAGTTTGTATCTGATAGAAACAGTCCTCTTTTTTTTTTTTTTTTTAACTTTTTGTTTCATTCATTTTTTTTTCTTGCACAAAAGAATGAGAAGATAAAGAACAGTCATTTAATTTCCTTCTATCCAGACTTGGGGTTATTAGTAAGAATTCTCAAAATTCTGTAAATTACTAATAGCTTCCAAGGGTAGAGACTGTCTTAGAAGCCTTAGTGCATTTTGCACTGTTTCAGAATTATGTTATTGGGCCTTTGTTTGCTGCTGTTGCTAAACATTTTTGCTCTTTTTCAAAAACAGCTTTCGTTCATTTTACTTAGAAATGGTTCTAAGTAAAATGGTTCATTTAAAAAGAGATTCTGTAAAGTAGTTCTGTTCTACCATCCCAATTTAGAAGTCTGTATTTGCCTATATCTATGTTCTTTCAGCTCAATCTTCATGACAAACCTAAGAGGTAGGTAAGTCATCTCCATTTTTTTTTTTTTTCATCTCCATTTTTTAAAGAAAGAAAAAAGAAATGGAATGTAAAGAAATCATACCACTGGTAAAAAGTAGCATAGAAATCTCAAACTAGGGTTTTGTTTCCTTTTGCTTTTAAGTTTTTGAATATATTCACAAGGTCATATAACCATTACTACTCTTTAATGCCAGAACATTATCATCACCCCATCA